TTTATTAGGTATTTCATTTGCCAACCTTCAGAAAAAGCAGAAGAATGGGAGACTTTGCTTATGCTTCACCGAAGTAACCCCCAGGGAGCTTCAAGGTATGGAAAACTTTGGACTTCTTTAATAGAAAATCCATCAATAGAAGACCAATTCATAATTCTGTCAGATCTTCCTAACCATCATAAATGGATGTGGGATAAACTTGTTAAAGGTGTAAAATATGAACAGAAGTTTTCAAATTCATGCAGATATTTTCCTGGTTCACCCAGAAACAGAATTCTTCAAGCCTCTTTTTATCGAGTTACCTCTGATAACATTATTGTATCCATTTTAAGAAATGTTTTTGGTGTTAAAGAGACAGTTGTATATCCATCTAGAAAAGAAAACTTATCTCTAATAGTGTCAAAAGCAAAAAAGAGTAGGATATCTAAAGAAAGTTTTCTTGACCAAGTTAATATTTAAGAAAATAGGTTTATTGTAATTTTTATTATTTGTTAATTTCTTTATCGATTTGTTGTAAGAGTTTCAATATAATGATTTGCATTGTGGAAAAAAAGTGGTTACAAACAATATTGGCATCACAGGTTTTATTAATGAGGTAATTTGAATAGCAATTAAATAGAATCAAAAAAAGATACATTAAAAGTTTTTTTTAAATCTACTTTTTTCTTTACTTTTTATATTTTTTTAAATATTTTATTCCAAATAATTTGCAGAAAACAACAATTTTTGTTTCAGGTTAACTTGGTTCAGCATTTAAGTAAAAGAAACAGTCTCTATGAATACTTTTGTGCTGAACTTTTTAGTCATGGCGTTCTTTGTTGGCGTGTTCGAAAACCGTCTCTTAGTATATGTGTTATGAACAATTACAATCACGAGAACGGGAACTTTCAAGTAGGTTTAAATTTTGTTTTTTTATGCAAATAGATTTATAATCAGTATATAAATATAGTAGTAATATGTAATTGTAATATATAAGTAATATGTTTAATGTTATAACAATTTAAAAATTTATTTCTAAATAAGGATAAAGAATTTGTTCATGTAAAAGCTGAAACAATGTGTTCTACTACAATATACAACTGCTCCGGTAAAACATTCTCATCATGTGTTTTTTTTCAATCAGAAAATTTGACAAATGTAAATAATTGTTGTCATTGTCGTCTGTTAAACCAGCTAATGCAAATGCTTGATAATCCTGATTTCATCCCAGAAAATAGTTTATTAAGCAAAAAAAAACTTATGGATAGTTTAATCTATCTCAAATCAAATGTTTTTAAGTTAACTTCAAAATCGGGAGTTGAAAGATATTCGGTAGTTGCTGATTCATGTTCTTTTGTTACAGTTTTTGAAATTTCAAAATCATCTCGCAAAGTAATAAAATGTCATGATTCATTATGTCAAATATCTGAAGGAAGTACTTGTCAAATTAATAATCTACACAATGGTTGCTTATGTCCACATCTTAAAGTCTTTAGAGAATATTTTTATCTTGTTGAAAACACAGTAGAATCATTTTGTAATGACAATGATAAAGTGATCTCTTTTGATTCTGTGTTAGAGGATAATCTACCAAGGGAAAAGGTTTTTAGTTGTTTAAATTTTTTATTTATTTTTGGCTTTAGCGTAAGTTTGTTGTGTAAATTCTTGTTTTTATTAGTGGGAAGATGTTTTTGATGTAGCATCTGGTTTGTGGACATTTGGAATTAATGCCCCAAGTAAAAAAACTGTTTCCAATGACCAATTTAATGAAAAATTTAGCAATGACATTGTAAAAAGACAGTCTGCTACCAATGGATATTGCTTTATGCCTTCTGTTGATCTAGACAACTGTGACTGTGGTGTAAGAACAATTTTTTTTTTAATTTAAAAATAGTTGATTCAATTTAATGAAATGTTTTTACAAGTAAAAAAATTTACCAAATAATAATTGTGGTATATTCAAATAGTCTGGTAGTTACTAACATCCGACAACCAGGGTTCACTCGGTTGCAATGTGCTACGGGAAATCAAAGCACATTTACTATTTGACTTGAGTCAAGTACCTAGCTCCTGAAATACTGTTTCTACTCAGAATAGAACTTTGCCTGCATGGATGCTGAAATGTTAGTTTTAAGTAATTTAAATCAATCAGTATACCCTGTAATTAGCATTTCCTTTTTCGTTATCGTTTTTATACTTCACATCAATTCTATTTCAGGTAACAAAATCAACAAAAGTTACTGAATATATATATGTGTATATATACATATAAATATATATATATATATATATATATATATATATATATATATATATATATATATATATATATATATATATATATATATATATATATATATACAATTAGAACCAAACAACAGCAATTTTTAAACAAATTATGCACAGTTAATTATCTAAAGTGATTAGAAATAAAAATCAAAATACATAAAAGTATTTAGGTTTATGTATGTATGCTTGTATTTATATATATTTGTGTGTACACTTATATGTGTTACTCATCCAACGCATTCAATAACACTAACATACACTACAATATAAATGACAATTTGACCAACATGTGGAACTACTTCAAATTCAACATTATAAGCACCTTGTCATTTCACCAAAAAAAATGATGTAAGTACATATCAAGAATAAAGACAACAATGAATGGTTTTATAGAGAGTTGAAAAGTCTAAAAAGATTGCACAACGATTTTTTTTTTTTTTTAAAGATATGAACTGTTAGATCAAGAGCTTTTTCTGGTAATTTTTAAAGTTATATTTATTAATTTGTTAATATTGTAACAATATATCATAACTTTATTTTAAATTTAGCTAAACTTAGTTTATTTTAAATTTAGTTAAACTAAAGATTTGTACTATCTTTTTGTAAAATAGAAAAAGAGAGCTTTTAAAAAATAGAAGATTTTTATTTATTTTGGTTATTTTACATACTTTTTTTAATATATATAAAAATTTACAATTTATGATTAGACAGAAAAGAATACTTTGACTCAAATTAATAAAGTAACTTGTATTAGAATAAGAATTTAAATTCTTTATTTTAATTAACACGATTTTTTTTTTCTTTTAATACAAACTTTATTTATAAAACTATTGTTATTTTTTTAATTTCTTAAATAATCAAACTTAAATATTTGATTATTTGCAAAATATACTAATGCCAGAATGGGCATCCATTTGTATTGCTTCAGTATTTGAATTATTCATTCTACTGCAAAAATTGCTTCAATTTTTCCATGATTAATGATGATTTAATGCTTAACAATGATTTAAAAATTTTTTTATTACAGGCTGGGTGGGTATCTGAATCTGTTTTATCTGGTTATACAGAATTTTACCATAAAATCAATATGTACACAGATCGTGAAGTAATTGAGTGTGATGTTTTTTTGAGAAAATGTTTATCCAATACTTGCATTAGTTATTGGGATGGCTGTGAAGACTCTGTTTTTCCATGTCATTAGTCAAAAATCCTATTTTTAGAGTTTCTTTTTAAATTTTTTTTTTTACTCGGGGCCCCGAAAACTGCAGGATTCAAGGCTATAGTCTCCCATAGTCCCCACCTTAATCCAGCATTGTAAACAGACACTCCTTGTAAAAAAGAAACAATGTTTTTAAATTTTTATCATAGATTTGGTTGATATATTGCAAAAAAGTTTGGTAAACGTATTGTTCTTTTTTTTATGAAAATTTTTATGTCTTTTCAAAGAGGTTTAGAACGCGGACACTTAAGAGGCTAAGTTTGGCGGAAATATTAAAAAATATATATGATCTTAATATTATATTTCAGGTTCATTTAAACTTAAAATTAAATATAAATAGTATTACACGACTAGTTGACAAGAGGAACTAGCTCAGATGGTAGAGCGCTCGCTTAGCTTTATATTAAATATAAATTTCCGCTGCAGACCCAATTTTATGTCTTATATTTGACACCTAAAGTTTGCTCAGCACATTCAAAAACTTTTCTTCTATCATTCGATGAAGATAAAACATTATGTTTTCTTTCAACTTGTTCAGTTGTATGTATTTCATGTATACGAATTGGACAAGGTGGTTCTGGTTGTTCCAGAAGTGAATGTAAACAAATTTGGTGAAATAAATGCTTGCATGGATTCAATATAACAACAGACTTTCTGTTTATAGTGTATTGTACAAAAAACACAACGAACTTTCAATTCCATCACTGTAGTACTTCAATGCTGACGCATACAAATGCTAAATTTGACATTATTAACTTATTAAAATGCATGTCCAAGAAGAACTTTTATAATGACCTTTAAGCTTACATTGTGAATTGAGCAACTACAAATAATGTATTCTCATTTACATAACTTTTGTTTTTCTGATAACATACTCTGATTTCTTATTTATATGTTGTTTTACTTAATTACATATCGTGACTTTTAAACTACATGTTGTATTTCTCAATTATACCTTACTTTTCTTAATTACTACTTTCAAGTTCTAAAATACAGCTTGAAAAGGTGTAGTTCCTAAAGGATTGTCCATAAATTACACAACGCTAAATTTATTTTAAAAACAGAACTAAACAGATCTTTTACAAGGCCATTTTCATTTAACTTAATGCTATTTGTATTTTGATTTTTGATTTAACTTAATGCTCGGCAAAGATAACCTTTTTTATTTTGATTTTGTAGTGAAATTTAGCTTTATGTAATTTAATCTAACCCAATGATAAATTGTATAAAGCATTACAAGCTCAGTTATTACACATTCATTCAATAAACAAACAAAAATTCTATTGCAACCAAAATATCAAGAGACAAATGGAAAAAGAATTTGATTCACTTTGAAAAAAGTAAAAGATTATGTAAAAGTAAATCTGGAGAATCATTAGAAACAATATGTAAAATGTCCAAAAATTGGCAAAACTGATACACCAGCTTGGCACCAGACTGTATAGACTTTTTCCATTTGTCTCTTGATATTTTGGTTGCAATAGAATTTTTGTTTGATATATTGAATGGATAT